CCGCCGCCGCCGCCGCCGCCGCCGCCGCCGCCGCCGGCTCGTGTACCTAGGCGCGCACGCGGGAAAGCCCCTCCCTTTGTCTCCCGCTGGTTGGCAGTTAGGTAGCTGGGGGGGCGGGGGAGGGAAAGGAGGGAGGCAGAAAGGAACTCAATTGGCTGCGATTCACAGTCACTCAACGGGCCAGGGAGGGGAGGGGGCCTCTTCAGGGAGGCATGCGACAGCGATGGCTTTTTCATGGCCGCCCGGCGCCATCTTGAATCGGAGTGTTTGTTTACGCGCTTATGATCTCTGTAGCTCCCCAGACAAAAGGGGTGGGGGTGATGGTTGGAGAATACCATTAATAAATCCTGGAGGAATGCAGTGAGGCAATTTGGGTCCCTGTACGGATGCGATCGCACAGCTCTGTGATCATTCCCTAACAAAGAGGCGAGCCTCCCTCAGAGGACAAAGAGCTCTCTGGGCACCGTGGGCACCCCGAGACGGAATGAGCTCGGCCTCGATCAGGGAAGCCTTCGGGGGAGGCCCCGGCGGAAGAGTCCAGTTGTCTGGAAGGACGGGGCCAGCCCCCTCACGAGTCAAAGGACAGGGTGCAAGTGCCCAGCTGTGCAGAGCCCTCCTTTCTTACATCTCCCATCTGCCAAGCCAAGGCAAAGCTAATGTCTGACCTGGGTTTAATTTGGTGACCTGACGTGCCATGCTGAGATGAGGGACAGAAGGAATTAAGACACGTGTAACCAAGCCCTTTAATTCCCACTACAAACGGGATCCCAAGAATCACGGCAGAGTGGGTCTCTAAGACATTCAGGCCCAAGCTAGTGCACTGATCTGCTTTTCAAATACTATTTAGGGATGCATGTGATGGGGTCAATGTCAAGAAAACATTTTTAAAAATGCTGATATGTGCCTGGGAGAATATGGGAAAATGAAGTTTGGTAAAGTCATACAGGTCAGATTCCATCATAAATTCCTGGGGCTTGTCCAGATTCTCAAGGGTTCTCCTGGAATCTAGTTGTATTAAATATTAATGAGGCCGTTAGTAGAGGCTTGGAAATCTTTCTCATTGTGATGAGATCTGATCTGTATATCTGCTTCTGCCTACCGGCTTTTCTGCAATTGTGACATTCACAGTATCTCCTCTCAGGCTTGTGAATTCTCCAACTTAGGAGGTGTTCTTACAGCTCTACCCTCTGGACCCTAAGAGCAAGGGCAGTTTTTTGCTTAAAAATGCTTATTCCTTCTTTTCTAACAGAGTGATGTGGATAGGGCTCTCGTGATACCTAGAAGGCTGTGTACATTTTCCATCTTAGCAATATAACTCTATGATTTGCCAGTCCCTCCCTCCCAAATTCACATATTTCTCTGGGAATATTCAACATAGGAAGAATTTTCATTCCAAAAATGTGACACCATAACTAAAATACACTTCTCACCCCTCCCATTATGTTGCCTTTGGTTCTTCCTTCCATCCAAATGAGAATTTTTTGAGAATTGGGCTTGCCTGGATTATTTTCCTGAAACTTTGCCAACTGCAGAGCCTTTCGAACTAAATTCCAATCTATAAACGACCATTTCGTCAAATCACCCAGAGAGTACTTCCGTTCATAACACACCAACCAAACCACACATAAAGGCCAAAATATGCACAGCTGTACATTTCAAAACAAGAAATGATAAAAGGAAAAACTTAAGGCATAACAGTTCCTTAAAGAAGGTTTTGAACCACAGATTCGACTGCTTGATTACTACCACTGAATCATTGGTTACCTTCCCTTTCCCCCAATTATTTACTCACTAATCAGACCCCTTAGAAAACTGAAAGAAAAGACATAACATTCACATGAAAACAACTCATTAAGTTCCAGTTCATAGAAGGGTCTGTGTATACATAACATAGATTTTCTTGGCTATACTTGCCTACTGAAATCCTGTTATGGTTACACTTGGGATCACAAAATGGACAACCATGTATCCCTAAAGCCAATCTGTATACATAAAACCAAAAGGTGGACACTTCTGAAAATAAAACATTCTCTATGTAGCACATATACACAGACTGAACATATATACATACAAGAACACATAACCTCAAATATTCTTGCTACAAGAAAACACAGAGAAACAAATGTCTTAAAGAAAACACAAATGCAGCACTCCCATTCTAAGAAGCAGAGCACCTCATCTTTTCCCAAGGGATAAAGGAAGGGTACCTCAATTATGATATAAAAATATCCCAGTATTTTTAACCTGTTGGCCTTGGAGAATTGCCACTTAATTTTGCTGCAAGGGGACTGGAGAGTGTATAAGATGCACACCAAACAGCTTTGGAAATTAGGGAATCTCACATCTCTGCATTTTACTTCACCTGGGATGGAAATTGAGATAATTTTCAGTAGACTATATATATGTACATATGTAATATATACATATATACATACACTTTTACTGAATTTTTTTCTTCCCTTCAACCAGGAAAAAAAAAATTCTCAACCCTAAGGTGTGATAGTTTAAGAGGAAAAAATGCCTCCAAATTTGACTGCAAATAGTTGTACATGGTAGTCCTGCTTCTCTCAACTTACTGGTATATTTAAAACCTTCACCAGGAAAGAAAAGAAAGAACAAGAGAGAGGAAAAGAGAGAAAGAAAGAGAAATGGGGAAAACAGCAAATTCCCCCTAACAACAATTTCCTCACCCCAGCATTGCCAAAACTTTCTATGTTTTTTTCTTTTAATTTTGAATACACACACACAAGATTAAAGAGGGAAAAAAATGGAAAAAGGATACCCGAAGGTCGTATGGCTCTTTGTATTCGTGTGTGTGCAAAAAGGAGGACTCGCTGAGTCCAGAGCCAGCAAGCCCCGCCTCACTCCACCCCCTCTGCAGAGCCCCGATTGGATGGCGGGGTGGTGAGCTGGGGATCTCAGCCAGCGAGCACACGCACCAGCCGGGAGGTGCATTCCTGAAGAGGGCTCCTTTAGGGGCCATCTCAGCCAGCGTGCTGGCTGGCCCTGCCACCTCCTGCACCACTCATCTCTACTCTCTGGACCCTGATATCCACCCCTACCCTCCTAAATCCATTCCTTTTTCCCCTTCACATCTCTCATCTTAAAAAACAAAAAAAAAACAAAAAAACTTCTCTGTTTTTCTTCATCAGAAGTAACTAGGCCTCAGTCACAAACTAATCAACTCTCAAAACCGGCTAAGTTGGTTGACTAGTTAAATAGAGCTATGACCAGGTATTGAGTAGGAAGACCTGGTGTATGTTTACATCCATTAATGATTTGATTGCATGCCCTTGAGTGACCTCTATGCCATAACATTTTAAATTACAAAATGGAAATAACCCACTTGATCCTATTTCTTATCTAGGCAATGTAGCGAAATTCTCAGATGCACCAGAGAGAAGAGTGAACATAAACTTTTCTCACAATCTTTGCTCTTAGAGAACTTATAATGGCTGTATTGCCTACCATATCAAGTGCAAATGCAAGTTCTTCAATAATTTGACTTGATCCTACCTATCCAGTCTGATTTCCTAATACAGGCATACCTCGGAGATACTGCAGGTTTGGTTCCAGACTGAAGGTTCAGTTCCATAATAAAACAAATATTGCAATAAATCAAGTCACAAAAATTTTTTTGTTTCCCAGTGCATATAAAAGTTATATTTACACTACACTGTAGTCTCCTAAGTGTGCAATAGTATTCTGTCTAAAAAAATACATACCTTAATTTAAAAAATACTTTATTGCTAAAAGATACTAATCATCATCTGAGCCTTCAGGGACTCAACTTTTTGCTGATAGAGGGTCTTGCCTCAGTGTTAATGACTGCTAAGTGATCGGAGTGGTGATAGCTAAAGGTTGGGGTGGCTGTGGCAATTTCTTAAAATAAGACAACCATGAAATTTGCCACATGAGTTGACTCTTCCTTTCACTTGAACTCCAGAGGCCATTGTAGGTTTATTAATTGGCCTAATTTCAATATTGTTGTATCTCAGGGAATAAGGAGGCCTAAGGAGAAGGAGAGAAACAGGAAAACAGCAGTTGGTGGAACAATCTGAACACACACATTTATCAATTAAGTTCACTGTCTTATATGAGCACAGTTTGTGGTGCCCCAAAACAATTACAATAGTAACACCAAAGATCACTGATCATAGATCACCATAACAGTATAATAATGATGAAAAAGTTTGCAATATTGTGAGAATTACCAAAATGTGACACACAGACATGATATGAGCACATGCTGTAGGAAAAATGGCACCAATAGACTTGCTCAATGAAGGGTTGCCACAAACCTTCAATTCATAAAAAAAAAATGAAATATCTGTGAAGCTCAATAGAGTAAGCCCAATAAAACAAGGCATGCCTTTATACTTTAATTCAGGGAGGATGGTCTCATTGTCTCCACAATTTATTGTATATGCCTCCATAGAAGATTCTTCCTCTATTCTGCCACTTATCTAAATCCTACTTATGCTTTGAGTCTAGTTCATATCTTAGGTTCTCCAGCTACTCCAACCCATACTGAGCTATTCCTTCTCTGAACTTATATTACACATACTCTGTACTATAATTTATCCCTTGATTTTATTCTGATTATTTCATGTATGTCAGTTCTGTTTTTCTCAACACATATTTATTTGATTTAATTCTTTTTTTCATTCTCCCAAAATTCCTAACATAATACTGGGCACATATAGTAAAGCGATCATAAATCCCTGTTGATTAAATAATTGCTTTCTTAGTCAAGTCCCAAACTATGTCTAAAAGCCCTGAGGTATACGAAGGAAGAAAGCAAACTTCATCTTTCTATATTAGTATCTAGTCCAGATATGTAGATTCTTATAGACTTTCTTATATTATGAAATGTCAAGGAAACCCAGAAAAATCTATCCATCCTGCTCAATTAGAACTAGCTGAGTATATTGCTTTTATTGTTTTTTTTATGTGACAGAACCCTAGTCCATGTTAAAAATCTATACATCCTACTTTTTACCTGAAACTTAAGTGGCATTTGTATTTTCTCTATTTCTAAAATTTGTAGGCTTGCTGTAATTTTTTTTCTGCATGATTTAGAATTTTTTAAAATCCCAAAGCACATCTGTCCATGAATTGTGATATGTTATGTATGCTTACTTAGTTAATAGCAATTAATAGTATATATCAAAATATCAGAGCTCCTAAAACTTAAGTGGGAAATTATAAAGAAATATTAAGGCAAAAGGAGAAAAAGAAAGATAGAAATTAAAATCAGTTACACCTTGCTGTGCTGTTCGCTTGTCCTTTTTCTTGTTATGAGTTCACACACCATATACTAAGAAAAGCTTTGTCTTCGCTCTGGTGACTAGGAGAGAGAACGCCTGTAAGTCCCATTTCAAGGATCCTTGGGATGTAATTTAATTATAGTCCCATGACAGCAGAAGTCACAGTTTAAGTTTGCAAAGCTATTTCTTTTCCAAGTTTTTTCCTCCTTTGAAACCTCAGAGTTGGACAGAACCCAAGGGGAATCTTTGGTGGAAAGTTTGAGCAATGATCTTTTGTCCTATAAGATAATGAGAATATCACAGAAAACACTTATTCCACTTTTAAAAATTACTGGATTTCTGTTTCAAAAGGCCTGAGATTTCAAATATTAGGCTCCACAGATGATTTCTTGAGTAAGGAAAAGCTGCTTAGTTGATTTTGAATAAACTAGGTTTATTCATTTTAAACTGCTTCTGTTCAGTACAATCCCAAAGGACTTTCCTTTACAGTGAAATGTAACTTACTTAGATTAAGACTAGCTCTGACAGTCATTCAATAGCAAACATTGAGAGCATTTTTGAACTTTTAGTGGAGGGGAATCCCAGAGCCTGCCGAGATTCTGCCTCACAGACTTGGGAGAGAAAATCAGATAAGAGAATTGAGATTTGGAGAGATGGGAAGGGTCAGAGAGTAGTGTTCTTGTGAAGGGTATTGCAGGAAAGAGAGAAAATGACAGGTTTCTAAGGAAAGAAGAAAGGAAGATAAGAAAGGCTATCTACTGAGGAAAAGTTGATAAAAACTCAAATTTCAGTAGGAGACTAAGTTAAATAAAATTAAGAACTTCTGACATTAAAGAGCAGTTAAATTCTAATAGCATCCAATGAGGAGTTGGGAGATCTTGAATGTTTTAAAGAATAGGAAAGATATCTATCTATTCTAGGTTTAAATAAAGTCTTTCCTGGAAGCAAGGGATGGATTTAAGCTTCATGGGCTATATCTTATCTAAATTTTGTATATTCTCCATCACCTACTACAGTGTTTTGAACACCATGTACGCTTAATAAATGTTTGTTCCATGAATGGACTGAATTGAACTCAAGGCAAGCCACTTTCAGTGTCCCAAACAATTCTCAAAGGGTATGTAGGTGGCAGAAAAGGTGCCTATCTGCATTGGCAGAAGTTCCAGGAGGAACTAAACCAAAAAGTCAATTATTCCATTACATTCATGGGAGAGAGGCAAGTGTTGGTATTTTCAAATAGAGAAGGAAACTGAAGCACAGAGAAAGGAGCAGCTTGTCAAAGATTAGATAGTGTGGGGCTCAGGATGTAGATCCTTTGCTTTCACCATTAAGTATTAATCTCTCCTCCACATGAGGGAGAATCCAGATTCCCAATCTCCTAGTTTGTCCATCAACCAGGCCCTCTCTTCATGAATCTGTAAGAAAAAGCATTCCCACAGAGCTACACTCTTTAGAGATCAGTGCTCCAGGAGCTAACTTATACTTCGTATGAGAACAAGCTTGCTCCTTAAACAGCAACTGTTCAAGAGATCCGCTGATAGCAGAACAGTAGTAAGAGCAGAAATCCCCTTAGCAGAGGCCTCAGAATCAGATGGGCAGATGGGGGAGGGGGGATGTGGAGTATGTGGTATAATGTGTGTGTGTGTGTGTAATACTCACTCCTGGTTTTGTGACACCATTATGTCTTCAGTGATCAACAGGTATGTAGTAACATTCCCCCCAAACTTTCACAAAATTAATTTTAATTTTTTTTGAAGCATGTTCCACAACACTTTTAGGAAAGAAAGAAGTGTCATGAAATCATATAGTGATAGGGGATTGCTCCAAGAAGGCTGAGAATCCTTATTAGAATTTTTAAAGTATATACATACCTTGCCAAGAAAACCCCAAATGGAATCATGAAGAGTTGGACATGACTGAAAAATGAAAATATGTACCTCTACCATTGTGAAGGCATTGTGGGGGATAGAAAGCATTTATTGAAGCCCCTACTATATGCCAGGGACCATGCTAAATGCTTTACAAGTATTACCTCATTTGATGGAGAAAAAGAAGATTTAATCCCTGTCTTTGAGGTGTTTATTATGGGGCTGGAGGGACAAGGCAGGCACATGTAGAATCAAAAGTAATCAATGGGCCCTTTCCGATGCTGTAGCAATACCACAGTAAAATAAGGTAAGAATTTGGAATATAGTTGTCGCTTAGCAAAGGAACTGGGGATTGGTTGGCTCAAAGTCTGGCCCCCATATGTGGATGTTTTCCCCGTTGAAAAGTGCTTGCAAATTTAGAGTGATGCTTAATCTGTGTTGCTGGGTGTAAATGCTTCACTGCCTTCTTTTCCTAAAAAGAAAATATGTATGTAGCCTCAAGACCCGAGGGAGACTGGGTGATTACCAGCCCTCCTACACAACCCCAGTGTTTGGAGCAGTGTGATGATCAGATACTTGATGCCAGTACATAAGAGATAAGATGCATGTATCATGTGATAGTTGGGGGGCATGGAGGAGCTTGGAATTCTCCAAGGTCCACTGGGTAGTGACACAACTCGGGTAGGGCAGAAA